GAGCGAATCAATATGTCGATTCGTATTTTAAGGATAGATGCGAGTCTTTATCGATCTAGAGCCTCCACTAACTACATTAAATTATCCAACAACTGCTGCAACCCTGGGAAACACCACCAAGCCACCAACGGAAAAGTTTTCTCCACTTCACATTTTTGCCCTAAGGCTATATCTGCTTCCACAGTGCCCCAAACTAAATCCAACACTACCAGGAGGTCAGAAATTTATCAAGGAACAAACTATCTTTTTTTTTTACCTCCGGCTGATTCTCCCTCAACACCACTTGTTGTGGTCTTCGTTCTCCACTAAGTGTGTGGTTTTTCCAGAAAATGGGTTTGAAGTTTCAGTTGAACTTGTTTTTTAACAAAATCAAACCCTTTCGACTTTCAATTTGATTTTCATGTTCTTGTAACACTTTGTACCACTAGCCTAAGCTCTGATACTATTGGTAGAGTTTAAAATGTAGTGAACAAATGATTATTACAATTACAATGCAGAAACATTAACTCTCAAAGTGTAAAACCAAACCACTCGACGCAATGCTTCTTCAACACCACCAATGGAGTGTCATATGACGTTGAGCTCAGATTTGTACCACACCGGATCATGCATCATCATCCACGTGAATGTCAATGGATATACCGAGAAAAGAATTCGTGGGAAGCCACTAAGAATTTTGCCATAGACATGATCCTCTCCCACTTTGTTACATCTCTATGTTTTTTCTCTTTTGTTATGCCAAGTCCAAATAAAACAAGTGAAGTAGTCATGTAATTATAGCGCCAAAGATACTATAAAATAGACATGACTGGTAGGGTAATTGACCAAAAGATTAAATCCAACCATTAGATTTAATCTATAGTCCGTAATACACATCACCTAGCACAATCATTTCAAAGTGCTCAAGACAAATACTCATGTGCCAAGTGGATTTTTAAGTGATCCGCCTCACAATTTTGTATCTATAAACAAAAGTTTTGTACGATTTAAAATCATCATTTCATCATAATAAAGAAGCAGTTCTTTACTAAACTTTCCAATTTTCAACTTTTTTTTTGCTTCAAGAAAGATATTAGTGATCATAAATATGATAGTAGTTATTATTATAGTAGGATTTTTGTTTTCTTTTAAGATTTTAATTTGAATGATGTTATTTACAGTCGCTCATTACCGCGATCACCTTACATGGTATACATATAACGATTAATGATTTGATGCAACAGGCAATAAAAAACTACCACGTTAATGTATTAAATCACTAACCGTTATATGTATGTCACATATGACGACTACGATAGTGAGTGACTGCAAATAGCATTACTCTTTTAATTTTCTTTCATTTTAGTAACAATGTTCTGTCTCCTTACATCGGTAAGATTATGATATAATTTTGTCTGTATAAATAAAGGTTTTTAGCACATTTAAATCATCAACTTATTATAGGAAAAAAAATAATTACTATTATTTACTAAACTTGCGAGTTGCTCTCAAAATTCCATTGACGTACCACGTTATGAATATTGCAGGCTTAAATCATCAATTCGATCGTGAGTGAACTCTTCTTCGTGATTACTTGGGCTTTTACGCACAATAACTATCTTTGTTTCTCACATATTTCTTGTCTAATTTTTTATGTATCCATTTGATTTCTTAGTCAAAATTTTGCACAAATTTATAGAATTATTCATTTGCAGATATAAATGCTATTGTGAGCTTCTCAAATCATCATTCAAAACATTTAAATGCATTAGAATTTTATTGAAGAATAAATCAAAGAGCCTACTATCACCAAGATCAATGATAAAGGGTAATTAGTACATAACGTTCTTACATTTCACTGTTATTGTGGAAAACGTCTCTACTTTTTATTTTTTGACATTTTCACCATTATTTTCATATTTCATTGCACAAATGATCATTTTTATTCATATTCTTAATTAAAAATTGTGAAATGGCGAAAATATCATTCCCTTTAAATAAACAAAAGGAAAAAGCAAAAAACTAATTGCAAACATAATCCAAACTTTTTTTAAAAGCTTAAATGAATCCTAAATAAATTATTAAAAAAATAATTAACACATAATGTTCATACATTTAACATTTTACTGTTATTGCGAAAAATATTTATACGGTTATACCTTTTATTTTTTTGGCATTTTCTCCCTTAATTATATTTGACAGCGCAAACCATCATTTCTATCCATTTTCATCAAATTTCTCAATAAAAATCAGCGAGATGACGAATGTATCTTCCTATTTAAATAAAAAAGCTAAAAGATTAATTGCAACCATAGTACCTTTTTTTTTTTTAAAAAAGTAATAACAAGTCCACAACAAATTATTAAAAAAATTTAATTTTTTTATGAAAAGTACAAACAAGTCCCAAATAAATTATTAAAGAATTAGAAATTAAAAAAATATATTTTTTATTTAAGTATGAGTGTATATTCATTATTTCACAATTATTGAGAAATCGAATAAAAATGATGATTTGTACAATCAAATGTATAATTAAGAATAAAAATGCCAAAAAAATGAAAATTATAAACGTTTTTCGCAATAAAAGTGAAAAATAGAGACATTATATAATAATTACCCTTTTAATAATTTATTTGAAATTATTTGCGTTTTGCAAAAAAAATAAAATTATAATTGCAATTAATTTTTTTCTTTTTCCTTTTGTCTTATTTAAAAAGAATGATATTTTCGTCATTTCATAAATTTTAATTTAAAAAATGAATAAAACTAACCTTTTGTGCAACAAAAGATGAAAATAAAAGCAAAAATACCAAAAAATAAAAACGCTTTGCACAATAAAAGTGAAAAATGGAAACATTATTTGCTAATTACCCAATCATAAACACTGCCAGTGATTAGTTAAGTTCATAAATTCCGTTGTTGTAGCGTGTTGGAATCTCATGATTGTATAAATGCTATACTGTATAAGAATTTGTTTAGCTGGAAAGGAAATTGTCGAAATGTATGTATAAATCTCAAGAGTGGAGCAATGATGGAAATTAAATTTATGAGTAGATAAATTTGTCGAGCTTATTAATCAAACTCTACTTGAAAATGTCAAAATGTATGAATATTTGTGGAGATTTATGAGTAGATAGAACATTTTGGAGTACAATAGTAACAGCACCTAAATTGATCCCTAACAGAGTAAAACAGTGGATTAAACTAAAAACAAAGATCAAAACCTAATAAATTTTAGATTTTCTTGACAGCAAGACTTTTGCTTAACAATGAACAAAAGTCCATAACAAATCCTCTACCCACCAAATCCATAAAGAGTCCTGCCTTGCCTCTTCAAAGCATAAACAACATCCATGGCCGTCACAGTCTTTCTTCTAGCGTGCTCAGTGTAGGTGACAGCATCACGGATCACATTTTCCAAGAAAATCTTCAGAACCCCACGAGTTTCTTCATAGATTAACCCAGAAATGCGCTTAACGCCACCCCTTCTGGCCAGCCGGCGAATGGCGGGCTTTGTTATACCCTGGATGTTATCGCGGAGGACTTTTCTGTGCCTCTTTGCTCCTCCTTTGCCCAATCCCTTGCCTCCCTTGCCACGGCCAGACATTGTTGGATTGAAGATTTAGTTTTTTCCTGCAATTGAAAATTTCAAAAGCCAGATTAATCAATACAGAACTAATAAAAAAAATTGGTATTTTGCGAACCGCCAAATTTTGCACAAACCTTTGAAACGGAGGACGAACAGTTACGAGATGAAAATGGAGAACAGGGTGGGGTTATTTAAGCGTGATGGAGGGTTTTTGGGAAGTGAAGGATTGATCCGGGGAATGGTTGTGGCATATATTATTGCCGTTGATTAATATCTATGGACGGTCAAGATGATGCTTCGAGTGTTACAAGGATCGATGACGTGGCAAGTTAGAATTTTTTAAGGTTTTTGGTGTCGAGATGAGCGGGATGATTAAAAATTAAAAATACTGAGAAAAATTGGGAGGGAACTTTGTTTGGGTAATAATTGTGTGACGGGGCTGTGTACTGGGCTAGTTGAAAAGCCTTGATCCAACTTAGATGTTCCATTTTTCTTCAAATTAGCCTACCTTTGATAAATTATTTATAAACACCGAGTCATTTTTTATTCAGCTCCTGTTTGGGAGCGATTTTCTTCATGTTTTAAGCAAATTTTGGAACGTTGTACAACTCAAGCAAGTCCCATACCAATCGCAATGGTTGACACAAAAAAGCAGCTGTCTTGTTTTTAATTTAAAATGTAAGAAATGCCTTGCTAAAGAGGATTGAATGCAAAAATAAAGCGACGCATAGGTCATTTTTCAGTCCACTTTAATTGTTAGGTAAGGAAGCACAACAATTGCTGCTAAAGCGGGACTCGCTGGCCGCTTGCACTGTATAACGTTTTAAAATTTGCTTAAAATCTAAAGAAACTAGTGTTAGATTATAAAATTATATACATTAACATCATATATAATTTAATCACATTCTTATATATGTTTACATTAAGGATTCGTTTGATTGCAAGATTAAAATTTGGGTGGAAAAAAATAAATTACAGGGAATTGAATTGTCTAAAACTTGTTTTACTGAGAATTGTCAATTAATTGTGTTTGATTGGTATAATTTTTCACCTGAAAAATATTGAAATTTGGATCTTTTGATATTCGTTTGATTTTGTTTTTCATGAAAATTGTTCATTAAAGGGATAAAATTTATTTCAATTGTCCAAAAAAAAAAATTGCCTAGAAAACCAAAAACCACCAAACCCATGGGAAAACTAATTCAAGGAAAATGTGAAAATGGGGTTTACGTGAGGTATAAGTTGGAAAACCAATTGCCTAAATTTTTTTCCTATCAAACGGCCTAAAAGGTGGAAAATGGAAAATAATTTTCAACTTTCATGAAAAATAATTGGACATAAGCTCTAGAATCTTAGAACTTAATGATTCGAAAGTACATATACCATTTATCATTCATTATGTGGAAAGCATATCTTAATCCATAGTAATTGATTTGGAGAGCAGCTATCACAAGGTGAATTATGAAGAAATTAAGTTCTCCTTCTTTCACCCTTTTATTTTTTCCTTCTTGATAATATCAATGGGAATAATATGTTCCATATATATTTGTGGAGAGATAGGATCAATTTCTAAGAAGTTAATGTTCTTAATCTTAACACATCTCATAAATGTGTAGAGTTACCATCAATTCCATGCTTTCAAGTTACCAACGTAATCCAGCCTTTACTTATATTTATTAAACCGTAACATTAATTTATTATATTATTAATAATAAATAACATAATAATTTTATATGACATATGGGTCAAATAAAGTCTAACATTCTCCCTCTTGGTCCATGGGATATTATCTTTCTTTCTTTTTGGTGGACAGCTGAGCATAGCGGCAGATGAACCTGCATAGCGGTATACAATCTAGCGTATTAGTAGATGAACTAGCCTCTGTTGGGAAAACTTTACCATCATAATAATAGTTCATATTGGATCATCAAGAATTTGTAAATCGAAACGGAAGTGTACCTAAATCATATATGATTATTGCAACGAATGAGTCCTGCGATTTTAGTCTTCCAAATCAACACATAATTCTTTATTTCTCTCTAATGATGGAAGTCAGAACGGAATGAATAAAACATGTGATCTGGGGACCATAACAGTATATATATACTAACGACCCATTAACCTAATTCTGGCCCATCATGAAATTAGGAACAAGCATAGTCTCTACACATAAAAGCATATACTTTAATTAGATGCTTTAGAGCCCAAAATACCCAAACTTTATTAGATCATTTTAAACGAGTTTAACCACAATTGATAGTCTTGAATTTAATACACATATTGATGAGTGTGTTTTGCACATGAATTTTGTACCATTGGAACTTCACTTGTTTGATTAATATATTGATTTTCGAACGAATTTAATGTGTTTGCTAGTGTTTTGGTTGAAGGAATGATGAAAGGATGAAAAAAGAGTTTTTGAAGCAAAGTAAATAAAGAAATGAAGCAGAAATTTGGCGCTCAAGCGCC